AAACAAAAAACCACACACACACACACGCACGCACACACACGCACGCATACTACACACAAACACACGAACCGGTCTGATTAAGAGGTTGAGTATTACAAGTAGCGTTCTGTACGCTTTTCAAAATAACACTCAACGATGTGAAGTCCGGTGTGGTCCAATAGTTGACCCCTTTGACCTGGGGTGGGGAGGAGATGGCCTGCAGTTGGTCCTCATCTACTGAGTCTGGGTTAAAGTTTAAAGGTTAAGGTAGTGGTTTTGAAATCAGGTCAAGAATAAATAATAACCATTTTACTTATTGCAATATAATCAGTTGTTGAAATATGAAAAAGTACAATATAAATCATTCATTTTCTCCCACACACACGCACACACAAACATACGCACAAATACCTGTCACTCCGATCACAAATACATTGATACCGGCATAATACGCCGCCTTTGCTTCTGGTACTGTTAAGTCGATGTTCAACGTAGCTTTGCCATCTGTGATCACAATGCCGATGTGAGGCACACCATATCTGCCGTGGTATTTTGTGTGTATGTGTGTGTATATATCTGTGTGTCTGTGTGTGTTTGTGTGTGTATTTCTGTGTTTGTGTGTGTGGTGTGTGTTCCACATACAAGATGTTATATGTCCGACATACACACACACACACAAACAGACACACATACACACACAATTTATATTTCATCATCTTTATCATCGTCTTTTTATTTATCATCAATAGTCATCATCATCTTCAGTTTCGTTGCATCCATTTATGGCATTGTTAACTTTCATTTTAACGTCATCATCAATTACTAAAGATGTTATCAGAGTAAATTTTTATTTCAATTTTATTCCTTCTATCTATCATTAATATATTTTCAAATATCATCATCATTAAAGCCTCATCACCATCACGTCACTCCACCACACACCATCACGTCACTCCACCACACACTATCACGTCACACACCATCACGTCACACACCACCACTCCAAACCTTCCACCCATCTCCGTCGAGAACATCTGCCTCATCATCTTCAATCCCTCGTACGTGTTCGTCATTCCATTTCCTGCCGGAAACTGATAGATCCTATCGACCAACTCCCTTTTGTCAAACACCTCATTGAGGCGGAACCTTTCCACGGCATAATTCCCAAACGTTACTACTCCCACTCGGGATTTATCCGGACCGATTTCCAAAGTGTTGACGATGGAGACGACAAAATTCTGGATTAGGAGCCAGTTATCCCACGAACCGTTGGCAGGATTGCTGTCTCGAATGCTTCCGGAATTGTCGAGGAGGAAGATGATGTCACTTCTGAGGCTGCAGTCGCTATTTGTGTTGGAGTCCTTGTTCGGTGCCTGTGGCGTCTGTGGTGGGTTTAGCTGAGCAAAAGCTGGCGATTTGGAAACAAATTTTTTTTTACAATTCTCTCATAATTATTTCTATTTCTGAGAAGGACCAGCAACACACACACAAACACACAGCGTATATTAATACATGTGAATCCACGCATCACGGTCACATTGCCTGTGATAGGCAAGAGTCCATTTGCAGTTGAACCCGGAAACTGTAACAGCAAACTTGAACCAGCAAACTTTCACCGTTTCACCGTCACGAGATCAAAAATACAATGCTTCACAAATTCAACCAACCAATCAAACAACCAGCCGAATCAACCAACCAATCAATCAAACAACCAGCCGAATCAACCAACCAATCAATCAAACAGCCAGCCAAATCAATCAACCAACCTTTATAAATAGCTGCAGAAAGAACTAAAACCAAAATACGTAAAAACTGATCATAATGGCAATCTCTCCATATTAAACAAACCGCCATCTTAACATTTGTTATTTTTAATTAATTAACTAATTAATTAGCTAATTAATTAATTGTTTGAATAATTAACACATTCATTCATTCATATTTGCACAATTTTATTTATACCTAATAGAAATTTTTATATAAAATTCGATTTCTCTCTTTGTTTTAACAACATTTTAAACAAACGAATGACTAAATAAATAAACTAATCAACCAATTAATTAACCGAATAATTGATTAATTTTAAAAAATTAATTAGTTTTTAAGCACATTAAGAAAGAGATAGCTTATATATATATAAGCTATCATACCATAGCTTATATATATATACTTTATAGATATTTTTTCACTATTATATATACATATATAAATGTTTGTGTGTGTGCGTGTGTGTGTATGTGTGGGTGTGTGTATCTATTGATTCACATTATTAATTCATAGAATGTAAATATATCCAATATGGAAAGTGTGTGTGTGTGTCTGTACGTCTGTTTGTTATGTGTGTGTGCGTGTCTGTATGTGTGTTTGCTATGCGTGTGTGTCTCTATGTGTTTTTGTTTGTGTGTGTGTGTGTTTGTTTTATGTATGTGTATATCTACGTTTACTTTCTTCTACACGTTACTGTCTCCACACTAATTAATTTTATAATGCAATCAATGCGATCATCATTATTAAATGTATCAGATATACAGTATCATGTTATTTAAAGCAATGAAGATATTACTGATTTTATGTATATCCGATTAGTTGATTTAAGCGCCTTTGAATGTTATTGAAGTGCACTATATGTATACATAAATTATCTATAATAATAAAACTAATAAATTTATATCCAATAATATATTACGTAATGCAATGAAAGTGTTTAAGATGATAAGAAAGTGTAGGAATGATGACGTTTGCAACAATATAGGCAGTTAAAATGATATTCAACGATGATAATGACGATGATGATGAAGATGACGACTATGATGACGACGACGATGATATGATAACAAGATGAAGCATGTTGGCGAAACCACGCTTACCTGTACATCTACGCCACCAAATTTTTGTATTAATGTTGTATGAATGTGCGTATTTATAATAAAAGACGCGTGTTTATGTGTATATTGATTTGTATGTACATGTGTGTATTTCTGGATGGTGATGTTTGTATACTTTTGCGTGTGTACAAGACCCGTGTGCTTACGTGTTGGTGTTTATATTGCATATTTTTATGTATTTTATTTTTAGGTATATAAGCGTATGTTTACATGCGTTTGTATGCGTGTATCTAAGATGTTTATTTTTTGTTTGATTTCGGAGTATACATTATAACTTGTTTTATTTAAACATTTTTTTCATGATTATAGGAACAGATTATAAAAAAACTATTTTCATTTACACCTTTGAGAATAATGAAAAGAGAAAATAAATTTTACTATCTAAGCAAAGTATACACATCCTTAAACAAATTAGATAGTATTTTTAATACCTGAAGCATTTCTGTATGTGTGTATGTATGTGTGTATGTATGTGTGTGTGTGTGGTGTGTGTGCTAACGTATCTAAGCCGTGTTCGAATCCAAGCATGCTAACCTATCTTAACAGGCAAACCGTTTCAGAGTGGCTAGCCCGTCAAAGTAGACCAAACAATAAAAAAAGAGGCAGTAGGAAAATGAATTTTAAATTAAATAATTCAACTAACTCATACGAAATTGAGGACAAAGAGTTCCTCTTTTCTCTTTTATCAAAGAGAAAAGAGGAACAAAACGAAAGCGGCCAAGTATTTGTGATGATGACTACCCAATAGCGAGTTATCTCTCTGACTCCAGCAGTGATGAAGATGAGCCGAATGAAAAGAAGAAAAGAGTTGCTCCACATCTTTCAACATTTTAGGCACCAACGTTTAATGCTAAAACGATACCAGATTCTAAAAAAACAAACGAAGACTCCTCATCGACCGAAACAAAAAAAATTAAAATCGTATTTTTATGTGTTGTATATATTTGGTGATTTTACATTTTATATATTTTTTAACTTTTTGAGATATGTTCGTGTAAAATGAAAAAAGTGATCAACTTTTGCGTTATGAACTATTGTGAACCTAAAAGAAATACCCGATTGAACGACTAAATCGAATAAACATTTTAACTTCTATTTGGTGATTTTACATTTTATATTTAACTTTTTTTAACGTTTTGTGATATTTGTGTAAAATAAAAAATGTAATTAATGTGATCTGCCTAAAACGCTCCAACAACTAAATCGAATAAACTTGTTAAAAATATTTTCTGAGATTTTTAATGCAAATTATTGAAACTCGAACTTTAGTATTAAAACACTTACTAACACAATCAAATTTAATTTAATTTTAGTAAAACTTATAAAAACTATAACAATCCATTGCATGGCAGCAATGGTGAAAATTTCATCCATTTATTCCAAGCGTGCTATCGAATCTAATTGTAGCAGTAAAGATGAAGTTTTGAAACATCTACAGGAGATAGAAGAAATAAAATGGAACTCGGAGTTATTGAAGGAAAGGAAAATGGAAAAATGTATTGAAGACAGGCGGTAAAATTGAAGAAGCTGCAAGTAAGCTGTGAGATTCAAATGCAAATTTGAGATTCATGCCATGGCTTAAAAAAATTTCATTAACTCCAACCAAGCCATCCATTCCAATCATGCTATCAAATCCATGCATGCGTTTCGTAATTTTCGAGTAAAAGAAAAAATGTAATTAAACAATTTTCGTCTTATGAACTGTCTAAAATAAATTCGGTCGGACAACTAACTCGAATAAACATTTTAACTTTATGAAAATATTTTCTGGAACTTTTAATTAAACCCGATCAAATTAGTGACTTTAATGTTTAAAAACTTACTAGCACTATCGAATTTTATTGAAATTAAATTAATTGTAGTTAAACATATAAAAATTATAAAAAAACTAAGATTATAGGGATCGCATTTAAAAGAAATAAGTTTACAATGTTTTTACTATACATCTTTAAAAGATAGTAAAAAAGAAAACGGATAATTCAGAGCAAAGAAACGGCATAAGCACTCTAACACTTATATTTTCATGATTAGTCATTTTGTTCCTCTTTTTTCTTTTTTCGACATCCTGCCATCTGAGGGTGAAATTGATCAATTATCCTCATCTTCGTCATCTCCAGCCTCACCATCACAAACGCCATCGTCTTCGGCATCCAGAACTGACGTGTCTGCATTCTCACTCAGCAATACATAATCCCTTGTACTGAATCCAAATTTCAGGACATCCTTCTCAAACAATTCCACGTATCTCCTGGCTTCTATACGGGCACTGTTAACATAAGTTCCATTAGCAGATCCAAGATCGATTATGTAAGGTTTGACTCGAGAGCTTTTTGAACCATCAGGTTTTACGTATGGTTGTAGTTTGTATTGCAAAACTGCGTGTTGTTTTGAACAGCTTGGGTGGTCCACGGGTATGTCTGCTACCAGTCTGTCTCTGCCTAATAGGTACGCAGATTGCCTGTGTAGGTGCATTAAGGGGAGTGCCTCATTGCCTTTGAATGGGTAAAAACGCCATCTTTTTTTTGGTCTTCGTGCCTCTGGGGGCTCGTTGTATTTGATGATTACTCCTCTGAATGTGTTTGTGTTTTCTGTTAACTTTCCTGATGTCTCAAAGTTCGGTTTTTCTGGTGGTTTTGACTCGACCTTGCTATTTTTGGTCGAGTTTTCTTGTTTATCTTTTTTCCCCGATGGTTGGGTAAAATTTTTTGATTCTTTTTTAATTCTTTTCTCGCGTGGCGGTGAAGAATCTTCTGGTGATAATCTTTCTCCTTTAATTTTACTATCGCCATGAGTCCTCTTGTGACTTTTGTTATGCCCATGTTCATATCTCGAACTGGAAGACATCACTAATTGAAAGTGTTGAAACTTACAATTAAATTTTGTTTTCAAGTTAGTAAGCGACGACTATTCATAAAATGAATGTACACGTAGAACCCTTACTTATATACCCTTCCAAAGTTTATTAGCTAGTTTCTTCCTTCGCTTGTAAATTTATTTTACAACACAGGCATCACTTTGTTTCAAAGTTAATAATATTAGAGACGTCAAAGAACATTTCGAAGTATTCACTATCATTTGTTTAGTTGGTGTATAAAGTGTATTTCCATTGACACTTTATTTCGGATTTAGTGTCAAGCTGGATGATTTGATAAGTTGTTAGTGTTTGATCGGCAGATTGACTGGTGTCAATTTTGAAACGTGACACTTTCTAAATTTATTCATTGTAATTATTGAATCAAGTAATTAATTAATTTAATCTTTTATTAATTACATTAATCAATTAGATGGTAAGTTACTAAAATCATCAACTAATCATGAAAATTTTTTTACTACCTTTCAAAAATGTATAGAAAAAACATTGTAAACTAATTTCTTTTAAATGCGATACCTATATTCTTAATTTGTTATAATTTTTATAAGTTCAACTACAATTAATTTAAATTCAATGAAATTGAAAAGTGCAAGTAAGTTTTTAAACATTAAAGTCTCTAATTTGATCGGGTTTAATTAATTTGTATGAAAAATCTCAGAAAATATTTTTAAAAGTTAAAATGTTTATTCGAGTTAGTTGTTCGATCGTTGGTTATACAGTATTTATTTTATACTGTTCATAACACAAAAGTTAATTAATTATATTTTTTTTACTCGAACATATCACAAAAAGTTAAAAAAAAACAAAGATATAAAATATTATATACACAAAATAAATACAGTATAACCAACGATCGAACAACAAAATCGAATAAACATTTCAACTTAAAAATACATTCATTCAAATTAATGAAGCCGCTAAAATTTAGAAACTATAAAACTATAATATTTTAATAACTTTACTATTACTACCAAATTTTTTACGATTTAAACTGATTGAAGTATAACAAAACAAAACTGGAAAAGCTGCAAGTCAGTTTTCTAGCAAATTGAGATACGTTACCAAATTTTATCGTGTATGCCGTCTAATGAATATAACGGAGGAAGGGAAGGAAAGCGGTTATGTATTCATGACGAAGACTTAACAATAGAGAGCTATCTCTCTGACTCAAGCGGTGACGAATATGAACCCGATGAAAAGAGTAGTTGCACATCCTTCAATATTTTACGTACAAAAATATAAAACCCCGACGAAAGCAACTTTTAAAAAAATTAACGTGGTATAAAGAATAAGAACGTATATACATTTTATAATTGACTTATATATATTATTATATTATATATATTATTTACTTATTTATTTAATTTATTTATATATATTATATATTTTATATTTGAGTTTAAACGTTTTGTTTGTGTATTCATATAAAATAAAAAAATGTGATCAATCAACTTGTGTGTTATTGTGTTATTATCGAACAATGAAAACGAATAAACATTTTAACTATTGATAAAAATACTTCTCGAGATCTTAAACACAAATTAACGAAACCTGAACAAATTAGGAACTTCAATATTTAAACATCTTACCGACACTATCAAATTTTATATAATTTAAATTGATCATAGTGTACAAAAGTTTTCTAGAGTCAATTAACCTATATATAATATGATGACCAAATATTATAAACTTTTTTCAAAGCCATAAAATTACGGTTCAATAACAAAAATGATCTCCAACCAAACATTGCCAAAAAGTAATTGAGTTATTTTTTAACCAAAACTTAAATAAAATTTTGATTTTTAAACTTACAAAATGTTGGTAAATAAATACGAAAGTAAGTATTACATTACGTCGAAGAACGAATTCTCTCAGAAATTAACATCCTTAGAACAACACTGAGCGCGCCGTAAATGATTTTATCAATTTTTTCCAAACTTTTTTTGGGTAGCGATTCTAGCAAACTTTTTGTAGCATCAAAACACCTGAAAACATCAACGAAAGGTTTGACGTAGAGGAATGGCAAATCGATGGTTGATAACTCGTATATGCTGTTATAATCTATAAAACTTTTGAGGTAAGAATTGAGAAATTTTTCCGTCGCGAGCAGTTCACTAAAATTTCTCTGGCTCATGAGTTTGATATAGAATGAAGTAACCAAACACGGCCAAAGTTCGACGAATCGAGATGGAATTATTAGTTGTATAATGCGCTTGAAAACTTCACTTTTGAAACTATTTTGAGTTAGCATGATTAATTCCGGATTTTTTTCCAGCTTATTTAAAACTGCATCACTGTTGTAAGGCTTATCTGAGAACGTGGATTTAAATATTTTAACAAATTCCAAACACACAGATAATGTTGAGATGGTAGCTAGGTCTTCTTCATTTGTGGTAGTTGAAACGGTGTTGACGATTTTTAAATATTCGCAAGCTGCGGCTGAAACTGAACAAACATCTGTGGAATACTTTCTTTTTGCGTTGAGAATCAAATCGCTGAAATTTTCTAAAAGAACTTTAGTAACTTTAGAGCAATCAAATGATTGGCTTTTTAATATAAATCTAATAGAATCCCATACGCGGAAGAGTGATAGAAGAAATAACGGAGAAGATTTTAAGAATTCAAATAAAAACTCGGCACGTGTGACAGGCAAACAGTTGTTGAATGCATCGATAACGTGAATTATAAAATTTAATTCTAAAAAGTATTTTGACTCGATTAAGTTGAGTAATTTTGAGTTGATGAACTTCACCAAGCGCTTCAGACCCCACCTAAAGACAACAAAATCAGAAAACGCAGTAGCGGTCACCACGCAAGCGTTACAAAACAACAGAGATGGAGGAAGTGACGTCATTAGGTCCATTATTCTCCTGATCGCGTAGTGATCCGATACGAACCGACATTCATTTATGTTATCGACCGACTTACCGGTTTCTGTGTCAGAAATGAAGTTTGGAGTGGTCTTTATTTCAGTTGATTTCAAGTGTTTGTTGATGACTGTCCACAACCAGGGTTCCATGTCTCGAGGTGAGGTCGAAATTTTAGTCGTAAGTCTCTGTAAAATAATGAATGTGTTATAACCGCTGCAATAGTCGAAGTGCTGTTTTGAACATTTGAGCCAACAATTAACTCCGATTTATTGTCTTTGTTTTGGTTTTATAGTTTTATGTTCTAATCAGATATCTCTGTAGAATTGTAAAATTGTGGAAAGTAGTAGTGAGGTTGGAGCTGTTGGATTATGGAGTTGCACTGTGAGGCGATTGTGCGACATTGAGCGCATTTTTGGGATTAGTGAATGATTCGCTGTTTCTATTACTGCTGGCATTCAAATAAACATTTAAACAAGTCTTTTTTCAAAGCATTTGCGTTTATCTATCAGAAATCAGTGAGCCTACGAAAGATCGAAATAACCTGATGATCGTGCAAGCTACAACAACATGCAGCAATTGTGTTAAACGTAGAAGGTTATCATGTAAATATAAATTAATAAAATACAACAAAAAGAATAAAACGCACCTGTACAAGTTGTATGAAGCAGTTGACTTTAGACGGAGAAGCCAAACCAGAGCACTCACAGTTGGCACAACCATCCACCGTCTTCCTCTCATCATACTCCAACAGTACTTCCACAATCTCCATGCAGTATCGTTCGTGGTAGTCTCTTGCAACCACACCACCACCATCAACTGATCCATCACCGAAAAAACCAGTTGGGAATTTCCCAGAGCTGATAATAAATTCGTAATAATTGATCAAGTTTGACATGGCTTTATCGTCATTTTCTGTTAGAAAAAGCTCCATTTCCATCCAGTTTTTAAAAGTTAAAATGCTTTCTTTATTCGATAGTAATAAATTTTTTTGAAATAAATTTTGAACTCGAGTTAGTCTGACAAGTTCATAATTATCATTATCCACACAAACGTTTTCTATATCTCCTGTGTTATGATTGCTTCTGCCGATGTTAAATGATTCCTTTACGTTAGCGGAATTTGAAGACGCACACATCTGTAATCTGATCTCAGGGTAGATTCTCGTTGCCGAAAAGCAAATAACTTGAAGAAATTTTTTCGGAATTATCCCAAAATTGTCATTAGTACCTACCGCAATTTTAGATTTGATACAATGGATATCATCGATGATAGAAACATTAAGATACTTCCCTCGCACGAAGTCGATATACTCGAGTAGGTAGTCTAACATGAACTGAAGATCCTGATTTGACTTAGGACTGAGTTGATTGATAATTTTTCCAGAAGTTTCAAGATATAGTTCGTATAACCTGTTAGATGTTTTTTCGTTTTCAAGTTTTGCAATGCTCTGCACGACGTGATCTGTGATGAGAGCCAGTCCAGAGAAGTGGCATGGTGATAATGTTGATATGTCTTTGGTGAGGAATTGGATAAAAATTTGATGGAATGTTTTGAAGAATTTGTGATGGTTCGATGATAACATGGATATGAGTTGGTCGAACCATTCCTTTGTTGATGTTTCTGGTGTTGTTGATGTCATAGTTGTTGATGTCATAGTTGTTGATGTCATAGTTGTTGATGTCATAGTTGTTGATGTCATAGTTGTTGATGTCATAGTTGTTGATGTCATAGTTGTTGATGTCATAGTTGTTGATGTCATAGTTGTTGATGTAGTAGTTGGTGCGGGAATTTCACTATCGATATTTATTTTATTATTTGCTATAGAGTTCGCCGTCTTCAGAACGAATTCCAAGAGGGATTGGCTAGCCTGAATAAGTGTATTT